GTCCCTTATTTGATTTTTGTCAAGAACAAGGGATTGTGAACCAATTTATCATGCCAAGTACTCCTCAACAAAACGATGTTGCTGAAAGGAGGAATAGGACTCTCATGGATATGATAAGAAGAATGTCCACCAATACCACCTTACCTCAGTTCTTATGGATCAAGGCATTAAAAAGGGACATTTCATATACTCAATAAGACTCCTTTCAAATTTGTTCCTAAAACACCTTATGAAATGTGGTTAGGAAAGAAACCGAGCTTGAGATATGTAAAAGTTTGAGGATGCCCTGCCGAAGTTGAGCACTAATCCTCTCAACAAAGAAAGCTTGACATGAAAACAGTCATTAGTTTCTTTATTGGGTATCCAGAACGATGAAAAGGATACAAATTCTATTGCCCTTTCTTATTCAAGTCGCATAGTTGAAACTCGTCATGCTGAGTTCTTAGAGAACTCTAATGTTAGTGGGAGAAATACACATCATGATGTTAACTAACAAGAAGTGCAAGAGGAGGGCCCAACGACCCCATTACCTCTTTATCCAATTGCACCTTTGTAAATAACATTGGCCCACCTAGTGTCACTCCCGAGGATAATGTTGCTCTAGATATGCCATTAAATGAAGGCACACAAATTTTGGAGAAGCAAATCCCTAAAGTTACGACGGAACCTCAAGAACCCGAAATTTCATTAAGATGGTCATCGAGGTCTATAAGACCTGCTAACTTGGATGATTACATAACCTATCTTGGTGAAGCTGATTTGGATATAGGGAAGAATAACGATCCAAGTCTTATAACGAGGCCATTAGTAGTGACCAATCCACTCAATGGATTGAAGCTATGATAGACGAGCTTGACTCCATGTGAAAGAATGACGTTTGGGAGCTTGTTGAACTACCTATGGGGGTAAAACCCTTAGGATGCAAGTGAATTTTTAAAACCAAGTTAGACCCGAATGGAAACGTCGAAAGATATAAAGTACGTTTGGTTGGCAAGGGCTGCACTCAAAAAGATTCTGTAAGGATCGTTATGGTCTTAGTAGCCCCTTTTGATTTAGAGTTACATCAATGGACGTTAAAACAACTTTCCTAAGTGGTGATTTACATGAAGACGTGTTTATGACACAACCAGAAGGTTTTAAGTCGAATGGTCAAGAACACCTTCTATGTAAATTAAAGAAATCCATATACAGGGTAAAACAAGCATCACGACAGTGGTACTTGAAATTTGACGAAGTCATTAGAAAGAATGGCTTAAGTAAAATCAAGTGGATCAATGTACCTACCTCCAAATGAGTGGGAGCAATTTTTCCATACTTGTCCTTTGTGTTGATGATATTCTTTTGGCAAGTAACAATCTGAATTTGTTGCATGAAACAAAGCGCTTACTTTCATGGTACTTCGACATGAAAGATTTTAGGTAAGCTTCTGGAACATTAGGACTGTTTCAAAAGGCTTACATTGAACGTGTTCTTGCACGTTATAACATGCAACATTGCTCTCCTCAGTTACGCACTCCTGTAGTTAAAGGGGATGTTTTCGGTTCTTTTCAAAGCCCGAAAAGAGAGGTAGAAAAGGAAAAAATGAGAATGATATCTTATGCTTCTATAGTTGGAAGCCTAATGTATGCTCAAGTTTGTACTCGTCCCGATATCGCTTATATTGATGGAATGTTAGACCGGTATCAACATAATCTCGGGTTTAGATCATTGAAAAGCGGCAAAGAAAGTTCTACGATATCTTCAAGGGACAAATGAATACAAACTAACTAATAGAAGAACTGATAACTTAGAAGTGATTGAATTTTCGGATTCCGACTTTGCGAAATGCAAAGACGATGAGAAATCTACTTGGGGTATATCTTTATGTTAGCATTTTGACCTATCTCGTGGAGAAGTCATAATGAAAAATTGACAACGACCTCAACCATGATGGCAGAGTACGTTGATGTCTAATATGCAACTTGCCATTGAATGTTAGTAAGAAACTTAATTAGTGGACATAAAGTCGTGAACTCCATATCGAGACCATTGAAGATATAATGTGATAATTCTGCAACCATTACTTCTTCGAACAATAAGAGTTCGAGCGGTGCCGGATTATATCTTGACACAAAGTTCTTGTTCGTACGTGAACAAGTAGAGGAAATCATCCTTTGTGTCGATTAGATTATCACTCATGATATGCTTCTGGATCCAATAACGAAAGGTCTACCACCCAAAGTCTTCCAAGAGCTCGTAAGGAAGACGGGTTTTATTAGAGATCTTATATGAAAGCATATTATTGTAAACTTCCTCAAATATCTTAATATTTTGTCTATACTAATGTATGGATGCACTTATTTCTCTATAGACAAATATATACAATTTAATATTGTATATTTCCATCATTTTGGCATTAAATTTTCTAAGTGTTTTATGTTAAAGTTCTAGTATAATTGGTGGGGGTCTTTTGTTGATAACAACAAAATGACTGTATCTTTTTGCTATGACTTTAATATGAAACTTGATGGGTATGAACTTTGGCCAAACTTATGAATACTCGTCATAAATGGTCACTCGGCCAAGTGGGAGAATGTTGGAATATTTTCAATTTTATTTGTGGCCTTAGGACCATTTATAATAATTATTTAATTATTACTATTTTAATAGTAATTACGCCAATATGATATAATGTATCCCCGTCTTACATAAACATTACTTGATTGTAATTATCATAAGGGGATAATTGATTTACCGTTAGATGTCTATTAATTAAATGAATTAATAAGAAGACATGACCGTTCATTTGTGTCTCTTCTTTCATAAATAAACGAAAGGACACATTGTTTAGTCATGTCCCTTCTCTTATGTCCTCATAGCACTATAAATAACACCAAATCAATTCTATGGGACATACTAATCAATCCATCACTAAATTAGACATCATAACAGGAATCATGACTTTGTCTTCAAACAAGATAATTAAGATTTCCTTCGATCAAGTAAGTAAGCTTACATCATATACTTGTTGATTTTATTGTGTTTGATTTGATTAGAGAAGATTACTAGAAACGTTATTTTGTTAAGATTATCCAACAAGTGTTGCCTTAACTAAAGCTTAAAAAAAAACTATTTGATCGAACCATCCTGTTCTTGAAAATTAGTTTTCTTAAACAAAATGTGGTTTTGATTTCATATAACCAATCTTCTATTCAACGAGGATCGAGGTGAGAATTTAATCTTGTTATTCATGATAAAACTTTACATAATGATGTTGAAGTCTCACACAAATGGTAAACTATAATATACGTAGTAATAGAGTTGTGCGTTACTCCTCCTATCAGGTTGTCATTTTAGGGCAGAATCTCATATCTTAAGATGGTTTCAGAGTCAAACTGAGATTTCATAATCATGGTGTGTGCCCCTTATGAAAAATGACTACTCGTTTTTTTTTTAAAGGCTAAAGGGTCAAATAGGCCCTTAAACTAACTTAAAGTGTTCAACTGGCCCCTTATATAGGAGGTTCAGCCCGACCATCGCCAATTGGAGAGGTTCCCGGTGGAATTTTTTGATGAATTTTTTGAGCATCTTCTTCATTAAATCTAGTTTACCCGTATCAAATTTCAGCTAAGAATTAAATCGGGAAGGCAGTCAAATAATTTTCCGAAATGTACTGCGTTGTTTAAATACGCAGTTATCTTCAAAAAAACATTTGATTGCCTTCCCGTTTGAAGTTTTAGCTGAAATTTCATATGGGTAAACTAGACTTAATGAAGAAGATGCTCAAAAATTTTCATTAAAAAATTCCACCGGGAACCGCCTCAATTGACGACGGCTGGGCAGAACCTCGTATATAAGGGGCTAATTGAACACTTTAAGTTAGTTCAAAGGCCTATTTGACCCTTTAACCTTTTTTAAATGACAATGACGAATCGACGAAAAAGTGAATGATGGAACGATTCAGACGAAGTGTCTAGTCGTGAGAAGAGGATGTTCAAGTCTACACTGGTAAAATACAAAATAATAAAATGCTATATCAAGATCCATCCTAATTTAATTCTCCTATCAAGTTGGTCTTTTAAGATAGAACCTATGTGATTTTAACAAATAATGTTAGGTTTAATTTCTTTTGTGACATACTTGATAAGGATCTTATCTAAGTTGAACATAAATACATAATTCCTTGACTACCTTGGTAGCTAACTTACTATGTGCCTTTTGTACGTGATGGTTATTGCATGCTTGGATCTTTGTGATTGGGAGTGTGTAATATGTGTACTTTCCAGCCTCACTTGTAATAACTGGGTGATTTTGGAGGTTTCTCAACAATGATGAGTCCCCCGAATGCCATTTCCTTTTATGAATCATCTTGCGCCAGAGGTGGAAATGGCTGGGTGGATTGGCCCAACCCAACTTAGCTCATTGTTACTTGTACCCGTTCTTAGCCCACTCCTTTTGTTGTCCTCGATGATTTTTATAACCCTCTCTTGCATTTCCATCTGATCATCTAGTAGTAGTAATTTTAAAAGATTTTAGCTTTATGTATGTATGACAAACATATATAATTTCGAAGTATTTAATTATATATTTGTGTGTATTAGTTAGTGTATACTATACATGTAGAGTAAGCATTTAGAGTGTAGGTCTCGTGACAATATCAATTTCATTGTCAATTTTTTTGACCAAAATATCAAAAGGTTTTTCAAGACTAATTTGATTATATAATTGACTTATTCTACTAGTTGAATTGAAGGCTCTAGTATTGGCAATATAAGCTGCCCGCCTTACGTGCTCTTACAGTAAAAAGAAATAGTACGGAAGTGCTTGTAAAGAGTACGTATGACCATTTTCTAAGTCAGCATAGACGGTAAGATGATGGTCCAATGCGAGTTCATACAATATTCCACGTAAGAGATTGATTTCACTTGCCAACAATATTAGATTAGATTATACTACGTAGTAGATCAGGTTAAACATAGGACAAAAATATATGCAAATAAAACTTACTCAGTCCTTTTTTGGGGAAAGAAAACTGCTTATATTAAATTCCTAAAAACAAACATTCAAACGTCCAACCAAATCAACAATCAAACATCATTCTTACTTTCTACCCACGACATCCCTGTAAACACCATATAACCAATAGACCCTCTCACTCACTGATCAGACATATAATAAACCTTCCAAAGCTGAATGAGACTAATCGCTGAACATACGAGAGATTCAAAGCTATTATCGGAAAGATTAGTCCGATTGCTTCCTCACATTCTCACATAAAAAACCCAACTATCCCCTAACCCGACTAGCAAAATAAAAAAGCAGTACTGAAAGCTAAAATTACACACGGCATATAAATGAATAACACTGAATCGGATATAACAATAATTAAAAGGATAAATTTCTTGACTCCTAGCACCTCATTCGATCCATGACGGTGGTTCAGGAGGAGGCCAGTCCAGGAGGAGGCCGATCCATCAGGACCGTTGCGAATGATTCTTCATCGCCAATCGAACTTTGGCCTTCATCAAACCCGTCGCCCGACATCAATCTGGGACTTGCTGGAAACAAGGCTTTGCCGCTGACCATAATTGACATCGTTCGCTACACACAAACTGCCGCTAGCAGATTCTGCCGACTCAATTGCGGCATCGCTCTCACCGACGAAGCCTTGCACACAAACTGCCGCCTTGACTACATGGTTGGTCCTTGCCTCTGTCGAGACCTATGTCGTCCGTTAAGCTTTTCAAAACTATCCTGCGAGCAAATTTTCCACAGTCCAAACCCTAGGCCAACTGGAGCCTCCGTCTGCTTTCCTTTTTAACGATATACTTAATAAATATACTTGCAAAAAGCCTTCAAACAAGCTTAGATCGATGATGATGATGATGATGATGATAGTGATGATGATGATAATGATGATGATGGTGGTGGTGGTGGTGGTGATGACGACGATGAAGATGATGATGATGATGATGATAAATTAATAATACTAACAGGGTTGATCCTAATAGTTTTTTGGCCCGAGTCAAACAAAATAAAAAGGCCCTTTAAGAGTGATTTAAATTGACTTTCGAAAAGCGAAACGAAAGTTCTTTTAGGGACGGGGGGAGTAAAACTTTTTAGCAAACTAAAAAAAGTAAATTACAATTACCCTAAGCTTTAATTAGCAACGATTAAAAAACATCATGAAATTTATGAAATTCTAAAATGGGCAAAATTGACATTTAAAAAGTAAAAACACCACAACAATTGAAAATATGGTGACTTTAGATTAACTTACCTCAGGAGGCTAAAAACTGTATGCTGAAATTAACTTACAAGTGCACGTCAAATTTGACGTGCACTTGTCGTGGTGTGCACTCAAAATAAATACAATACAATTAATATACGTAGTATATTGAAGTAAGGTTCGTATCCGCAAGGAAAGGAATACTTCTCTTTTTATAAACTAATAAATAAAAAAGGGGGGTTTTGATTGAATGATTTAATTAAAATTGAACACGAAGATGAACGAGTTATGTGGTTTAATTAATGAGAAGAAGACTTGGCTTTGCTTTTATCCACTTAATGAAATGTTCGTCGATCCCGGTTATATCTTTAACTATCTTCCTCTCGAATACTCAATCGAGGAGTATATCCAGTTCATCGAGGGTAGTTATTAATAACGAGAAGCGTTCATTAATAAAACTTACTATCGAGTCAATATAGAACAAGCGCCGTATATTAACTTGATAGTAGCAATAAACTTAAGATGAAAACGATTGAGATTGATAACCTCAACACAAGCGGTTTATTGGTTTAATCAATATAATTAATTCCCCTTAGATTATTAACCATGAGATGCATGCATTAATAATCCAAGTTTACTACCATGAAAGGACCGAATTAATAACAAGCGTATTAATCGACCGATTCTAGTATTAATTAATATATGAAACAAAACTAGTTGATCCTTTAAGTAATGTTCAAAATATTAATATGAAATATGAATAGGAATTAATTAATACTCAAGAAAGAATATTAAAGAAGATGAATCCTACTATAGTTAATATCAAGATGTTAACTAATTGTCATCTTAGTAACACTCCCCAATATTAACGTAGAGGAAGAAATAATTATTACTATAACTAATGTCAAGATGTTAACTAATTGTCATCTTAGTAACACTCCCCAACATTGATATAGAAATAGTATTTAAAGGAAGAATTAATATTCAAGGAAGAAGATTAAAGAGAATAACTCACAACTTACAAATTCATTAAGCTTCAAAGTAGCAAAACCAAGATGGAAGAGTTAGCTCCTCATTTGGAGACTAAACATGATAGAAAATATAAAGAAAACACTAATCTAAACTAAGCTAAAGAGTATATGTGAATTGGTGATTTTATTGTGAAGGAAAGGGGTGTATTTATAGGCTTTTGGGAGCTGCAGGGTCTGATACCCGATCGGGTATATAGGATACCCGATCGGGTATCTTAGGAAATTGCCCAGAAAGTCACTTTTCTGGGCATACCCGATCGGGTATGTCGGCATACCCGATCGGGTATGTGACAAATCTTCACGAAAATTTGCTCCCACGATCATTTGTTCCCGGATTTGATTTGGACAATCGAATCAAGTGAATACCCGATCGGGTATAGGCAATACCCGACCGGGTACATGAGTATTTTTTCCAAATCGAAATCTTTCTTGTCTCCTTGCACTTTCCTTGATCTTTTAAGGTCCAATCTTGATCCCTTCGATGATCTTTGACCTGTTTAGCTCAGAATAATCCTAATCTAAACAAATTACAAATAAAAATGAAAATAAAATATTACACCAAAAGTGCGTAATTTCCACAACTACAACTAATAAAAACTAGTTAAAAATACAAACATACAATCGGAAATTACACGAATATCAAGTTGACAAAGGTAACTAATATTTTGTGGGCCCGTAATTTTTATCCAATATTGTGGGCCCGAGGCAATAGCCTCTTGGCCTCATGTATAGGTTCGGCCCTGAATACTAATAGTAATAGTAATAGTAATAATAAGAGTAATAGTAACAGTAACAGTAATAATAATAATACTAATAATAATAATAATAAAACACATAAAAACCAAATTGTAGCATACTAGGCTAATTAAAATCAGACTATACAAAACTTGAAAATACGAGTCTCAACCCTCAGAGCATCTCCAATGCTACAATGTGCACGGTGTACATGTGGTATGAGAGATATAGACACAAAATATTGATTTTATGACATTTCTCTCTCCTTCTTTTCACGGTTTTATGTGTTTTTGGTAAGTTTTTGTCTGCAATGTCAATCACAATGTCTAGATCTAGACATTATGTTTGACATTGTAAACAAAAACTTACCAAAATGATGTAAGATCTTTCAAATAAGGAGAGAGATATTCTATTTATTGTTTTTTAATTTGTTATTTCTCATGTCACGTATGCACTGTTAACGTTTTAGCATTGAAGATGCTCTCAGCGAGTATAAATTAAAACATAATGGAACAGTTCAAAATATAGTAGTCAAATTCAATCAAAATTTGATGTGAAAATTTCAATCCAAGTAAGAAGAAATACATGTGGCCTCATGTAAAACTTTTCAATTAAAAATAGACTCATTCATCATCTTAATTAATAAATTTGTTCATATTAAAAACTCTTTAATTAAAACTAGTATCTTTACCCGTGCCGTGCACGGAATGAAATGAATTTTTTAGTTTTACTATATGCGCGCGCGCGTTGGCATATGTATGAACTATTATAATTAACGGAAAATCGCTTATTTAGTCGATTATATCATTGGTTGATAATGCATGTTCTTATTTATTCATTATATCTTATTTTCAATATAATTATCTAAACATGTTCTCATCCTATATTTAATTTTCCTATTAAAAGAGTCATCTTTTTATAACTCTCAATTGCATCCAAATGAAATTATTTTTTCAATCATCTTATCTGAATAGAAAAAGAAATTGATCATGGGTGAACGTTTTTAGGGCGTAGTGATGATCGAAGCTTGGAGTGAGCCGGTATATGGATTTTTTTCAGATAAATTTTACACATAAATTTTTACACTAAAAGTACAAAGAACATAAAATTTTGGGGTGGGCCGTGGACCGGTCGCCCCTACCTCCACCCCTGAATGATTTGTTTTATTTTTTACTATATATGTGTGTGCGCGAGCACACTGACATATGAGTTATTAGAACTCATGGAAAGTCTCTTAGTTAGTCGATTATAACATTGGTTGATAATGTATATATTCTTATTTATTGAGTATGTTTTATTTTTAACTAATTATTTAAACATGTTCTCAGTCTATATCATCCCATATTTAAAAGAGACAACTTTTTATAACTCTTGTTTGTGGCGAACGCAAGAATTTCCGCTAAAAGAGGGCATTGGTGTCAAAATATACGAAGCACATACAAATACATACTCGTATATATTAAAATTCACGGGTAAATATATACGGCTAGTAAAAAGGGGGATACCCCCCCCCCCCCCCCCCCCCCCCGGGTCCACCGCTGACTCTTGTTGTATCGAAATGAACTTCATCTTTTCAATCATCTTTATCTAAACAAAAAAAATTGCTGGATGCATATTTTTATCCATTAGATTGCATTTGTAGCTTATTATTTTTTCAAAACTAATAACTATACATTTTGGTGATTTATTTAAAGAAGAAGAAAAAAGAAAAAAGAAAAACAGGAAGTGTTTAATTAATAATTGTTGTGGTCATTTTTTTTGAAGATATTAGCGTTTATAGGATTTAAAATTGAACAAATTAGTCCGTATATCTCCTTTTTTTAAGAAAAGACTTCAGAATATATAATTTTGTGACATTCTAATTTTAATGAAGGTGGTGACAACGACAACAGGCCGGTTGCATAACGCTATTAATAGTGGTTGATTTATTTTCCTTTAGATTGATTTAAAATAAGATGCCGTTTGACAACACTGTTTTTCGTCTTATCAGGCGTATCAGTCAACTTTTTCACCAAACACGTAACTTTTGCTTTTGCGATTTTTGAATATAATTTTTTCTTTATTTTATTAATAAAATATATTATAAACATATTTTTTTCTTAATTCAGCAGAATCAGCCAAATCAGCCGATTTTCGTGCTACCAAACGGGATTCATGTGTTATTGAACGAAACAATGTTGCATGGTATGGATTTTCGATCAATAAGCAATATTTACCTAGAAGACCAACTGAATTAAATTTATAAAAAGAATCTCACATCAAATGGTAGGTAATAGCTGAAACATAAACATGTAAAATTATGCAATAAAAAAAGATACCTCATATTAAGAAATGAAAAATGATCTCAATTTTATGACCAAATTATACTATATCAAAGTACATCCATAAGTAAAAGCATTACCCTTTATACGCAGTCTAACTTATTTATCTAACCTTAAACACCACTTTTAGTTTCACGATATGAGTGTTATGTATGTAACTAATGAAGCTTTCCGAGATCTGAAACTCTCGGCAAAAAATATACTATGTATCAAATATTTATGTTAATATATATTTAATATACACTAAAGTAAAATTTTCATAGATCTGATAAAATAATTGATGTCAATTCATAATATCCTTAATTGAATAGGTGAACACAAAATTGAGATAGCATTAAGGATGTTTTCTTTTGGACTGTTTCCAGTCCCAGACCGGACCAGACTTCCATAGTGTTATAAATTACACAAAGACCAGACATTTACCAGACCAGACCAGTAAATTTCAGTCCAAAAAAACATCCTAAGACAAATGCGCATTTAGAAAATTTTAACACATGCAATCTTATTTTTACCTGGGTGAAAGATGTTTTATTTTTTTTAGTTTTATTATAGTATATTGATGTGAGTTTTCTCGCACTTAAAAAGATTGTAATATAGTGGTGTAAGTACGAGTATCGTCT